CCCTTCCACCTGGTCTCCTGCACACACAAAATGTCTACTCTTCTGGTTCTCTACTTTTCCCTGGAATTGTACCTACATTCAGAGTTCCAAACTTCAGGCCAACACTTCTTCCTCTTTTCTCTTTTTGTCCGAATCAATCATCCTCCTCTTCTTCTTTGTCTTCGACCAACAGTAGTCCAATTTCCATCAGTGCCCTGTAGGTCAACAGCACTGTTGGCGGTCGTTGTTAACCCAGGCTTCGACCGATCCGGTATGGAAATCGTTTTAGTGATTCGCATGTTTGATTTGGCTAAAAGTTTTACGCCGGATGCCCTTTCTGATGCAACCCTCACCATTTATCCCGGCTTGGGATCGGCACTATAGTAGCACTGGCTTGTGTACCATAGTGTAGCCTAGTGGCTGCTTTTTTCGCTTTTTTTACCTTTAATAAAAACTGTATTTTAAAATGTTTACAGTTTTTGTTGTAACTGTATTGTCTCAAAAATAAAAATGGCCTCACATGTGTTACAGCACTTTTGAGTTTATGTTGTACAACAATACAATAAACATTGTCCTGATGAACCAGTTATACTGGGGTGTTTGAGGTGAGTTTAGTTAGCTGTAGGGTTCACTTTTATTCCTGTAGTCAAGTTAGGCATTTGTCAATGAAGGCGCAGTTGTCTAGGTTGTAGCTGAAGCCAAAGGGGCAGTGCAGGACTTTAATCAATGCTCCCAGTCTGTGGGCAAACTGACACACTCAGCACCTAGGTCTGTTAAATTGTAATGAATTTTATTGAGGTTTGACTTTGCATTTGTTATTGATTAGAGGCAATGACACTGCAACTCTGTCTTCATTGTTGAGCTTTCATTTAGTTTGAGTCATCCAAAGTAGCTTGTTCTCGGAATTACATGAGACATTTCCTCTATCTGTCACTGAAATTCTCTGTTTAATTTACTATTTGAAATTTCCTTCCAGTTTTAAGACAGCCTTTCTCACTCCCCTCTCAGAATAAATGAGGCATGTTGCTGCTTGTAGAGATTACAGGGAATTAAAGCTTTGAGAGCAACTGGAGCTGGTATATTGGTAGCCTTGTCTTCCACAGTGGAGTAGATCTGTTGAGGTTTCCTCTTGGTCGCAGGAGAGCAATCAGATAGGATCAGTTTTAGGCACTCTATTGGGGTTTGACACTGTTGGTGACCCTCATTGAGTCGATGTGTCGTGTTATTGCTGGCAGTCTTATTTTCCGGGTAAGGGAAGAAGGTGCTGCACAGGGTGGTCAATCATCTGCACCGCCAATTAGCCAGTTGACTTTGAGCCAGAGCTGCAGGGAAAACTGAGCCTAAGCCCTTCTTTCTATTCTGGCACGTATCAGCAGAGGCGGGATGCTGCCATGTATGTTTTTGCGGCCTAAGTACTAATGGGCAGATGGAGAAAAAAGGGTGCGAAAAAGATGTGCACAGGGCCTCTTTTTATTCAGACATTCCATGACCTCTGAAGCAGCTCCAAATTTACTTTTTTCAGGGTGAGATGTCTGTTAGTGAAGGATCAGAAACCAACTAAGATCAAACACCTAAGACAAAAGAAAATTGTTCTGAGTATTTTCTTTTTGGAGAGTGAGACTCTGGAGAAGACCTGAAGTGCTCTTGACTAACTTCAGGAGTGAATGGGTTATAAATAAGAGGGCCTTCTCATTTATTAATTTCTGATTGACTGACTTCTGTACAGTATACAGTACTGTGTCACGAATCTGTATGTATTTTAAGGTTTTCTTATTTTGATTCACTTGCACAATTTTTTCACTGGCAATATTTTGACTACCCGAGTCTTTCCCAGGTCAACTAGTCCACTGCTAATACTGTCTAGTGTGTAATAATGTCTGCTCTTTGCCAGTGTGAGTGCGTGTGTCTGTGTTATTGACTTGTCTGTTGTTCTGTCATTACACGCTCCAGATCGGTGGATTTATGTTTTTTCAGGATGTGTGCACAGGGGACTGACAGGTAAAACACTGCAACTCTCTCTGCCTTGGTGCAACATACAGGATCCTCTCCCATGCCCTCAGCCTTCTTTCCCTCACTCAAGTTAGAACCTTTATCTTAGTCTTACCTCTTACCCCAAGCTTTTAGATCTTTTGTAATTTTCATGGCATCGTCCCCCTACAGGACTGATCAGTGTACGTTTTAGGGTAGTCTTCAGAAGCACGTTTGTTTTGTTGACCTACTTCTCACCAAGATTTTGCTGCTGTGCTCGGTGACTAGAAACTATGCTGTTCTGGATCTGACTGCCTGCTTGATGTCTTTGCATGTTCCTAGTGCAGCCTCATCTGCACAACTGATGTGTACCGTGCAGCAGCAGCAGCATGAAGTACACTGAAGTGTTGTTCTGGATTGGCATCATAACAATACTTGGCTTCAGCCAGTAGAACCGGGGAGAGGCAAGTCACTGTGGGGCTAAACAAGTACACTTCAAGGACTGAATAAAAAGGGTGTCGACCACCTTGTCAGTGTCAAATGAGTCTGGAGCTGTTGAAGTGCTTACTGCTGCTGTGGGACAGCTGCATGTGGCAGTGAGGGCTCTGAGGATGGATGAATGACTGGATGTTAGAACCCACCTACACACATGCACATCCACATGATTGCATGGCAGCATGTTTGAAAGCGGTTGATTTCATTGGTATGGAAATCAAGGACTGGCGATGTTTGTTCTGTCTGAAGCAACCACCGAACTGGAGCAGGTGTTATTGCTGATTAGATGCTGCCCTGTGGTTTGAGAGTGTTAATCAGCAAAATCCTCCTGTCTGTAGCTGGACTGAAAACCTGCCTACATTCAGCTCTATGAGAAACACAAGAGAACATCCTTACCCCGCAGCTCAGCTTTTATAACTGACAGAAACGACCGACGACAGGCTTTTTACCATTAACTGTAAATTCTTTCTGTTGAATTCACAAGTTAAATCTGGAAATATTAAATACGCAGCAGTGCTGTTCAAAGTCACACAATATTATGATTTGTGATTAAAGAAAGACCATAGTTGGTCAAACTAAGACCCAGTTGTTCTATTTTAGGTCATGACTCCTGGTTTCTACAGAGTGAAATTGTCTAAGCAAAGTATTTATCTGTGCAACAAGGACAAGTTTCTCTCCAAACAAACTACGCTTATTAAGTTAGGTAAATGTAAGGTTGTTGCTTTGTATACACATTGGCATACCTCTGTTTTCATTAGTGGTCTTCAAAAAGTTTGTATTGTCCCAAGCTTTAGAAGTCTCAGCTTTGGAAGGATGTAGGCCACTAAGGAGTCACTAAATGAGTCAGTGAAAGAGTCATCCATCTGTACAGATGTATAAAAAGTCTGCCATTGATTTGCAGACATTTATAAGAGCTGAAAAGAAAAACTGGTACAAAGGGGGCAGTAGAGAGCACTGGCTCATGTCAAAACACTCATGTAAAGCTTGTCTAACTGCTCGGTGAAGTTATTGTTTCAGCACAGTTTTCCAGGTTGATTCAGATGTCGTCGTAGTGGAAGCAGAGCTCATAGACCATGTATGAGATATGGACAGAGCTATTTTTGTGGACAACTGTGGCAGGATGCAGTATTGCATGTGGTTGACAGCTTTGACTGTCTCTGACTGTTAATCTGCCTGCTGTTGACACATGTTTTATCTCTATATTTTTCAGATGTGACGAATAATTAGCAAAACTGCCTGTTTATATGATAAGATGTAAAACTAAATTCCTTCTGTGTTCTCATACAGTTAAACTACCAAAACTTATTCATTGTTGGATTGCTTGTAATAATATTTTGAGCATATAAAGATGCAAAAGGCACTGTCATGACATCTAAACAAAAGGAAATTTACCTATAATATAGCAATTTATTTAATTGTTGTATTTTAATTCCATGTCCTTGTATGTCATTGTATTGGTCTATTCTAAGAGAAGTGCAAAAGCATGTTTTTTTATTTACAGAATGTAATAGTACTTGATTTTATCCATACATTGGTTAAGAGGTACATGTTAGATGCAGCACTGTGTGTCTCTTCTCTTGGTTCTGATCTCCTGCTGCTTTGGCTCTATTTCCTCTCCTCTCGTTCTATCTGCCACCTCTCACACTCTGTCCTCTCTTTGTTCAGGCCGTTATGCATTGTTTAGTTTTGTTCACTACGAGACGCTGGGATCAGACAATGCCCTTGTTATCTGGACTTGTGTGGCCCACAGAATTTGCAACAGTTGGTCTTAGTAGAGAGAATACAGAATACCCAGAGTTCTTCGCGCCCACAGCAGGGCAGACAGGTCCCACTGAGTGAATTACCAGTATAATCTACCCTGTTTGTTTTGCTTGCACTGAATAGGATTTATGAATGAGGCAGAAGTGGTGTTTTACAAAACTGAAACTTTCTCAGACACCCACAATTTCGTATTTTAGAACTGTTTGTTTAATGCTTTTGTTTAATTGTTAATGAAATGTATGATGCATCATTGTGCAAACATTTCAAATTTGGATGTACAGTTTGAATTGTTACAAACCAACCTTCCAGAAAAGGTAGTATGCTTCATAAAATGCAAAGTTAAAATCTGTGCTAAATGTGTTTGAAAAGAATTATATTTAGCACTGTGTCACAATGAAGTTCAATTTTTTAATACATTTTAATTATCTAGTAATTGAAGCATGCCTTTTTGCAGTTTTGCCATGGAATGTTAACCCTGTCACCCTGTATAAAAACCTTAGCTATTCTGTTTGGCTTTCGCTGATTCTCCTCCTAATGATGAGCCAGAGGTTTAATATAGTACACAGATCTGAAGATTGGTCAGTTACTAAACCATAGGTTTTAGTTTGTTGCATTTTAAGAAAATAAGTTATCTGGAAGTTTGGTTTGTATACTGTGGAATACTATAATATTCCTAGGTTAATATGATAATCATTAACTGCTTTTAATGTTCCAAATTGCCAGATGTTGATGAGTCTTCCTTCTTTTCTCTCTCTCTCTCTTTTGTTTTGTCTGTTTTTCTCCATGTTTTGTTATAGGACGCAGGCAGAGATGGCCCACACATGTCGTGGAACAATAAACTTGGCTACAGCCCACATTGACACAGAGGATGCCTGCAACATTGTCCTGAGCAGCGGGGGTCGCACCTACCACCTGAAGGCGAGCACAGAAGTGGAGCGGCAGAGATGGGTCACGGCGCTGGAGTTGGCCAAAGCTAAAGCCATTCGAATGATGAATGACCAGTCAGGTAGGAACCAGACTAGTCAAATATCTGCTGCATTTAACTTCCCTTCACCCTGTGATTCACATTGCCTCCTGGTGTTTTACAGTCTTCTGTTTTAATGATATCCACATGCCTGTGTAAGCCAGGAGAGGGCAGCGCTGCCTGGTCCTTATAGAGCATGCTAATAGTTCAGTGAGAACTTAACTTCCATTCGTCCTTCTCCTGACAACAGAATACTTTTCCTTTCCAAGAGAGGACTTATGGTTGTGTGGTTATACAAGGTGATGCTGGTCAAAGGCTGTGGGAAAGGCCAGGGAGAAATGTTTTCTTCACTTTTCACTCTGGCATGGTCCCAAAGGCTTGCTGCCCCACTAGTTTGCAGAGTCTGCAGAGACTGGGCAGGCTATATATTCCACTGGCCTCCATTTAAAAGTGAGATCACTAAATATAGACACAGAGAAAGTAAATGGTTTTGCTTTGTCTTTTCCAGTAATCAGAAAAGAAATAAGTGAGAATGTTTTGGCTGGTTATTATAATTTTCTACTCCCGATAGTACTGAATGTGGTATATCTCTCTGGACAATAGAAGGAAAAATTATAAATGGTAAATTAAGATATCTTTGGTCTTAGGGTTTGAGTTGGTATCTATACAGTAAGTCATGGTTAGGGCTTTAACTGTACAAATAGATAACACTCAAACCCAGAATTCTAACTCAAGGTTGTCGGTGGTTGGGTGCTCATTTTAAGGAGGCGTTGTACTGTATATTTTATCTTGTAATACAAGAGCTTCAATAGCCAGAGTCGATTTAGGGTAATATTAGGAAAGGAAGTGATGTTTTTCCGCACTGTTTTGAAGCCACTGACAAATTAAAACATTATTATGTAAATTATTTAATTGTGTAAAATTACATCTAGCTGAGGAAAATGTATGCATGCCTTTAAAACAAGGCATTTGGAGCATTTAATTAATTCAATTAGGTTTATTTACAAAGCAGTAAGGCAAACAATGCATCAAGGACAGGCTCTACATTCATTTATTCTACTATCTGCTATGTCCCAGTGGAACAAAGAGCTTTTAACATTAAACTGTGGGCACGTCACATGAATCAATAGCTTGGAGTTTGTACAAGGTACAACATTCAACAACATTAGTACAACAATCTTACATTTCACTTGCTTTCAATACATAATAAACAAGATCCTATTTTTGGTATAATTTCACCACATCACTAAAAATAAGTTCCACTGATTTATCTCTTAAGTCTTTATTTGTTTTTATCTACAGTGCACAGTAGTTTACGGGGGCTTTAAACTGTATGAACTAAAACATTCAGTAGGTGGCAGTATTTTCTCTCACATCAACATAACCTTTTAGTCGGTCTTTTCTAGGCCTATCCGGTAGAACTGGAACGGGACAATAAAAGGCAATTGAGTCATTTCACAGTGGCAGTTGAAAAAGTGAGCGTAATATATATATATTTTTGCTTACAACAACAAAACAAAACATAAGCACAATTTAGAATTTTACTGGAAAACATTAAGCCTGGGATGGTTGGTAAGAAATTTGAGCAAAGATTCAGGAATTTGAACTTTATTGAGCTCTGATCAGGAATATAACGCAGAGGAAGACAGACAGAGTTACTACACGGTTGTGTAGCTTAAATACCCAAACACCAGTTTACGGCTCAAACCTCATACAGTACTTTTAATCAGTAGTGTTCAGGCATTTACGTTAAGAGGCATGCTTTGAATACAATAAAAAACTAAAAGCTTTTGCTTTTTGCTTTTAATGAAATAACTCATCCCATACAATGAAAAAGGTAATCCTCTGTCCATGGTTCTGAAATCATACAGTTACTGAGCAGGATTAGAGAGTAAAAATTAAGATTGGCTCCTAAAAACGCTTCATTTACCCTTCTTTCCACCTTTCCCTTCTTTTCCTATCACTTGGTTCAGGCTGTCTTTGCATTTTTTTTCTCCCCACGGTGTCTTTGCTTTCTGCCGCTCACCCTTCCTCCCTCCCTTTCTCCCTCACATGCACTCTCTCTCTCTCTCTCTCTCTCTCTCAGTCTCTCTTCTTGGCTTCCTATCACTTTCTTTCTGGTCCTCTCAAACCCTCCCTCTCTCTCTTTCTCTATCCCTGCTCTCTGTTGGTGTGTCGTCCCTCTCTCCTCCGGAGCCTTTTGCTTCAAATGTTATCATTGCCCTGTATTGTCTGTGGAAAATAGGAGCAGGTTAAAGGAGAATCATGTTGTAAGTACATGGATTCTTATCTCAGTTGTTTTGTGCGCAGGAGTGTGTGTGTGTGTGTGTGTGTGTGTGTGTGTGTGTGTGTTTGTGTGCGCGTGTGAGTGTGAGTGAGTGTGAGTGTGAGTGTGAGTGAGTGTGTTAGCTTGCACGCACATTGTTGCACATGCAGGTTGATGTTGAGTATTTATGTTGTTATGTTGTTGTTTCCTGGCTGCTGTTTTGCGATATGGACTCTGTTTGAACAAAATGGTTAGAAAGATTTTGAAACATTGAAAGATTTTTAGTATTCACAAAAAGAAACAATGGTTATAGAGTGTGGTTCTTACTGTTACTTATTTTATATACAATGCATCTGTAGACAGTGATTGTATCTTCCAGTACATGGGCCTAAACTAATTGTGTAGGAAGAACATGCTCCATGTTTGTGTCCTTTGAGGTTATGCAGTTTGCATGTTGTGATTTAAATATATTTATATATATAATGTTTTTGTCCTTATACAGGACCAATAATTTCAAATTTTATACTTGCTCTTCCTGTATTACATCATGCCCTGTACATTATTTTTGAAGGGCAGATGTTCTGCAGTGTTGTGGTCTAAACTCATTATGTCATGAATTGACATATGTCAGGCCAAGGCTTCTCCTCACTGACACTGCAGAAGCAGCAGTCGATCGTGTGGAACAGCTGACTATCTCTGACAGCTCAGCAGGACGGATCAGAGTTAAAGTCGCCTTGAGGGAGATCATCAACACACATTTTTGTGACCCTTATTCACAGAAATTAATGTTCATTATTGCAGTGAACAGTGTCCCTGATGCATTGAATACAATTGTGTCTCAGTGAAGTCTTTGACCTAGATGATCCATAACTGAATGTCCCAGCGCATCATGTTGCCAACACATTGATGTTGGAGTCACATCTCAGCTTCTCTTTCTTCCCTATTCTGACCTGGATTGTCTGATTGTGTCTTTATTTCTATTAGAACTGTAGCAACTGTTAAACCATCTCCCCTGAGCTCTCTCTCTGATTTATCACATTATTTCACTTGATATTTTCCCCTCTACATATTTTGGAAAGTAATGTTGCTATCTGTAATTATAATAGGTATTTCTGGACCATGGCTGGTTCTAGTGGACCCTTTTATACATACGTTTATATATGTTTTGGTGTGCATACAGTTAACTGTCAAAACCTGAATTAATCATGACACACACAGTCACACACATATTTTCTGCTTAATCAGCATTGAGATGAAATAGAAAATTTGAGACTGCTGATAAAGCCACCCCATTAGAAATATAAATTAACTGCACTTTGTGCCTGGCCCTGGTCTTGGACAATAGTGGTTCATTATCCAGGCTCACTTTTTCCTTTTTCCACATTTTTCATCTGCCATGGGGGATTCTTGGTTATGACACCACTTGTTACAGTGTGAAGCGGCTCTGCATTTTACACATTCCATCTTATGGTTGTTCCTTTTCAGTTAGTCAGGAACATTTGTCTCCTAGAACTACCTTCTCACACATCAGTATTTTTACAAAGCCACTTGCTGTAGGGGAGAATCATTTTGCCTACAGTATATAATTAAAGGTGTTTGATGTTTCATGATTCTGTGTATGCTATGAGAAAGAAATACCAAACGTATATTTGCTTTGTAATCCTGATCATCATTTCTAGCAGTAAACAGTATAATACATTGACAACTCCAATGTGTGATAGACAATGATGTGTTTAACTTTGTGGGCTTTGTTAAAAAAAATAGAATATAAAGAACTTAAGTGTTTTCAAATTTTTTTTTTTTAGAAGAATTGTTTTAATTTGAAAACTAATTTGTTTAGTACACTGATCAGGCATATATCATTTAATTTATGCTGATGATGAAAATGTCTGACCTGCTACTGCGCTGTTCTATACTGTACTACTGTGCAGTTACTGTAGTAGTCTTAGTCTGGAAAGAACTAAAAACAAGCTAAATTCAAACTAAGGCTGTCAAAATGAACCGTATTAATCATGGATTGGCAGCGTTGTTAATTCAAACTCTAGAAAACAGCTTACCACGTCACTGTGGTTATTCTTGTGTCTTTCTGCAGTTGTATAATCTCTATCACAGGGCAGTAACAAAGTTTCTCACATAATGTGGTTTGTTTTTGCATATAACATTCGTGTAGCTAATAAAATAATGTGATCAAACCATGTGAATACAAGAAAAAGCAGTCGATTAGTAGAGATTCGTAATTAGTAGAGATTCACTGAAAAAGGTTGGTAATGAGTTGTCCTAGCACATTCAGACTTTTATCTGTACTCTTTAACCTCTTTGTTTCAGGTCAGATAACGACTTTGGTGATTTCTTGCGATTGTGTTGTTTCTCTCTAATGAAATCGTGTTCTTCTTTGAACTGTGCAGTGTGACTGCTTTTAATGAGTTCATTGAATGAATGTTCAGGCAGTGGGTTGTGTTTTTAGTTCTTTATCCCAGTGCTATGAAACAATTTGTTTTATCTCTGCCAATTACTGCATGTGTGATGCATCCACTGTCCATTTGAAGAGGAATCAAAGATACAAAAAAAAAACACTGAAATGCTCCTTGAACATGATACAATTATAGATAGTTATAATAATATTAGTTTATATCACACAACATCTACACAAGATTGTATTTGTGGAATTCGATCATAAATACAGTAAAAGAAAGAACCATTTGTGTGATTTTACAAACTATATTAAAGGAGGGAAATATGAAGGTCAAGTGTGAAATTAATTCACGATTCATTTGTT